GTTCCTGATAAGGACAGGATAGGACTAGAGCACACGTACCTTTTCCCCAGGGACTCTTGTCTTTTGCTTCTGCTTTTGTTGTTTACCTTAAAGCCATATAACAGTACTGTATAGCTTAGTAATGGGAGGGTGGCTTCAATAGGGACACAGCTCACAAGCCATCCCTATGCTGTAAGTGACCCTTAATAAATTCATTTACTCCCCAAGCTGCACTTATCAGTCACTTTTTGGACTGTCAGTGCTTTCCAAATTCAAAGGCAGATGTTTATTTACATATCCATAGGACATTCACAGAACAGCCCTATAAAGGTGAAAAGGAGAAAAAGACTAAGAAGAATGATGCAATATTATATTGTTAACTAAAGACTGTATCCTGAATCTTCAAAAAGAATATATAAACAAGGCCCCCTCTCAACCTCATTTAATCTCCAAAGGCCCTGTGCCTAAATAGCTCCAAGTCTTTTTCTCTCTGATATCCTAGGCCCAAGGGAAGAAGAGAGGAGGTAAAGGTGGACTGTTAGAGGAGTAGAGGGTAAAGACATGGAATGAGTTGGGATGTGTGGCTGCAGGATCCACAGGCATGCAAGAGAAACATTTCATGGTGTAGGATGAAACAAAGGGCAGAAAGAAAAAGGGGAAGAGACACCTCCATTTGTATTCTTGCTCCAGGTCTCACAATTAGGATCAGGCTGGTCCTTACATGACAGAAGCCAGTAGTGTTGGATGCCAGTGGCCCAGAGGAAATAGAATTTAGGAATTGAGTGGGAAAAAACCTTATATCATTGGTCCAAAGGTCTCGCTCTTCTTGCAGGTTGCCCTGGCAACCAAATCTCAGCGGCTGCTGAAGCTGCACGTTCAGTTTGTTGCTAGGTCACCAAGATGACAAGCATTTGATCCCAAAGACAGATACTATGATCTCCTAAGAGTGCTAGGATCCTTGGTACTAAGGTACTAGGCTCCTTAACAGGCCAGGGAACGAGGTAGATAAAAGTCCTCTTCTCATGACAGGTTACATAATACATGGGCTCCAATAGAGCTCTGCTCTGCCACCTACCTGCTCTTCAGCCTCAAGTACACCTCTTAGTCTACACATACACACATACAATTTCTCACTCTGTATTATGGGAAATTGCTGTAAGATTTAGAGATCACAGATCCAACAGGCCTAACAGTAGCACCTGACACATGGTAGAGCCTCCTTTGGGTTATCTATTGCTGATAACAACCCAAAACTTAGTAGCTTATTATTTATTAAATTCCATGATTATGGGAGTCAGAAATGCAAGTGACAGTCCTTCTGCTCCATTTGGCATCATTCAGGGGCATTGACTTGGCCACATTCAGCTAGCAACTGGGATGAATGGGCTTCACTCACATGAAGTCTCTTGGGGCTCCTCCACTTACCTTCTGCATAGGTTGGTGGCTGCAGAGTATCTGTCAGCTGTATTGCCCCAAAAGTTTCCAGGACTTTCAAAGGCAAGACCTGGAATTAACATTGTCACTTCTGCTGAATCTATTGGCTAAGCAAGTCACACAAATGCAAAGACAGGCTCCATTCAGAATAAGTAGAATGAAACTCTGGGTAAGTTCAGGGAGAAGGCAGATGTTGGGGTGCACCATGACCAATAGAGAACTGTATTCCCATTCAATGCAACCTAGTGGAGAAGGTAAAAATTTCAGACAGCTCAGTTGTTCAACTACAGACTGGATTGGATGCCTCAGGTCTCCCAGCATTGCCACCTTCAGCTTAAAGAGAGAAAAGGAAAGAGCATTCTCTCAGATAATGGAAGTATTGAAGAACAAAAGGAAAAAGGGCTTTCCTCATTTTACCCATACCATGGAAGTCTCCTAATACATAAGAGGCCCTAAGGAAGCAGAAGGTGCCCCTGCAAGCACTTAAGTTGTACTTCAACTACAGAGGGAATAGGGTTTAAAATAGTATCTGAGTTAGTTTTTAAAAATATATCTTGCACTGTTGATATTCAGATACATATACCATATACTAGTACCTCAGTTCCTGAGCTCAGTTCTCTCCATGATTCTGGTCACAAAGTGAACTGGTCAAGAACTGAATCAAATTTTCACCTAAGGTAAACATTGAACCTAACCATTAAATTTGATCCATTAAAGTTGATTCACATTCAACTCAGTTCATAACTAGAACTCTGGAAAGAATCAAGTTCATGAACTGAGATGCCACTGGATGCATTATACTATTGAAAACAGAAACACAGGACACTCATATGTAATGCTATTTATATTTAAAAATATAACTTAAATGTCTTATAAAATGCTTCCTGGAGTATTGAATAAAACCTGTATGCTGCTTTGCTATAATTTTAATATAGATAATTGCAGCCTTGACCATTTTCCTGAACCACCAGACTAATCCTCTCGTGCAGCCTGGAAGGCTCTGTGAGCTTCAGGAGGTAGAGTACAAGCCCTGTTTACCTGTTGGTTTCATCCTTCTCATATTTCACCATCCACGTGCCCTGGTAGCATGAGACTCAGCCCCTTGGAGGAAGCCAATAGAGCCTATTTTGTAGCAGTAAAGCAATTGATAGCTGACACACTTTTGGCATGATCAGGAGACCTTGGTAGCCTATCAGGATTGTCCCTCTTCACACACTACCTGAAAGCAAGTGTAATGTAAGCACTAAACTTGCACAGAATTCTATGGGTGTTGTTGCAGTGGATAGTGCTGGCCAGGGTCTCTGAAAATCTGGGGATCTTCTTGAACTGCACATTTCTACTTGCAAGGAAAAAGAGGCACAATAGCTTAAAAAAAAAAAAAAAAAGCACTGCATCTTCAGATCTAGGTGGGGTTATAAGGATACAGGAGACGGAACCTCTGCGGTGAACTATAATGTTTAGGATAGTATAACGTAAGGGCACAGAACAGAGAGTGAGCTGTCAGCTTCAGGAACAGTACTGGGCTTGAGTGGGCAACTGTCTGGTGCTCTCCTTGGGGGCCAGAGGCCAGGTGGTAACAGTAGAACACACACAAGCACACAAGTTACCTTGCTGGGCATTGCCCTGTACTACAGGAAAACATGATTGCCAAAAGACAAGTGAGTGGTTGAAGAGAATGAGCTGCTTAAATGTCCAAGGGCTGGCACACCCTATGTACTATTTAAGTAGAAGTGATGGAGCTGAGAAAAAATTACTGACAAATGCTGTTGACCTGAGAACCTGAGTCCTTAGTGGAAAGAATATTGTCTGGCATTGGAAAATCCAGGTCCAGGTCTGAGCCCTGCCCCAACTGGCTTTGTGACCCAGTGTGTTACATCTCATCAGTGTTCTTCCACCAGTGGTTTGAAAAGGTACTGAGATGCTAACCACACTTGAGATACTGTTGATCCCAATACCAGTTTTTGCCCTTCCTTCTGTCATCAAGGGATGGTATTCTTGTCCCAGAATCTGAGAATAAGCACTCTTAAATAAGAATGCTCAGGCCGTGTGTGTGTGTGTGTGTGTGTGTGTGTGTGTGTGTGTGTGTGTGTTAGTGGAATAAAGAAGAAACAGGCGCCAGAGGCATAAATAAGGCCCTAAGTTTATCCCCAGCAGGCCTCAAACAGTATGCTGAACAGTTACCGATGAGCACAAGGAAGTGGAATTAATGCCTAAAACTGCTAGGTAAATGTTCCTTTCTTCATGAAGGTTTTTTATTTAGATTAACTGTCCCCCAAAACTCACTCTCTTGACTAGACAGTGGTTACATATGTGCTTCTGCAGCAGCTGGATGCAGAGATGTCTGTGAAGTTAGTGGGTGATCATAACAAAGCCCCAACTTGATGGAATTCCCTACAAGACAATAATTAACACACAGGCCTAACTACTGCCCTTAAAAACCTTGCTTGCAAGATGAGCCCTTCACTAATGTTTGGAACTTGAACTTCAAGAGGGTTCTCATCACCCCCCAGAACTGGTAAGAATGTCCATCATTTCCTAAATTGTTTATATAAAAATTCAGTTTCTTCTGAAGACCTTCTAAGACTCTGGGACTTTGTGCTGGGCAGAAGATAGGTACCCACCAGTAAAATCTGAGCACTCAGTTTTCACTAAGCTTTCCTGACTGGAAGCATCTCATACCTGGACGATTCACTGCTTTCTGTGATGCTGGAAAGGACCTCTGGAGGTTTGCAGTAGTGTCCTCTTACTGTGTCCCACACCATTTCCCTGGACTAGCTGACTTAATAATGAATCAGTCAGGACTACAACTACATGCTGAGTCCCACAAGCCCTCTAGATACATTACTGGATCTGATCATGGCACTAAGGACCCCTAACACACACATTCACCCTGGATCTCCATAAGGTAAGACGAGATCTGGGACACAAAGCTCCTGCTGATGGACTGGGCTTCAGAACTCAAAAGCATTAATGGCCATTATCAACCCTTCTATTGAATTCCATACTCCTATCCTCAGCACCCAACTTTAAGGACCCTTATCTGTCGTGGAGATAAGTTCTTAATGAAGCATTTCTTAGGTAGTTTATGGAACAGTGCTGGAGTAAAGTGAGGTGCAACCAGGGCCAACAGAAAAGGCAAAGTTGAAGCAATAATCAAAGTTTATCTGAGCCTTGGTGCAGGTGGGCCAAGGGTGATAAGACCATTGGTTCTAAGGGATGCATAAGAGAAAGTTTTATGGGGGTGTTTGGGTAAAGGAGGGACATGGCAGGGAGTAGAAAGTTTTTAGGCTGGGTCTGGAGTGGTAAAAGCCTTGGGGTCATCTTGTGGGTGTGGCTGCATAGGGAAGTTGCTTGTGCAACTCCTTTGGCAAGATCTGGCTCCCTGTTATCAGCAGGTCTGCAATCAGCAGCTCTGTTCTGGGAATTTTTTTATTCTCTGTCAGGTGCGGGGGTCTGACAAACAGGTGAGCAGGACGGTCCATCCCAGTGCTGTGTCTCTTTAGTCTTGAGTACAGAACTGAACATTTTGCTTGCCAAGGCTCAGATGAACCACTTGCCCACACACGTTCATAACACCAAGACCTGACAGTATTCAAATGGTAACAATTTATAGAATCACTCTGTATCAAGACCAGTTTCTTGACCAATTGTGGCAAGGCCAATGTCTCACACAGCAAAGTACAGGCCTGGTTAGTTATATAAATGCTTCTATCACCTCTATGCAACATACCTTTCCATTACTGGTTTTTTTTGGGTGTGTGTGTGCATGTGGTCCACACCAAATGATGAGGTCCCCCAGAGGAGGTGCTGCACTCAGTGCTGAGACATCTACCTATCTGACTTAGCCCAGATTCATCAGGAGCAAAAGAGGGATTCAATTTCAGAGCAATACTCATTCCTAGGGGAAAACCGTGGACCAGCCATATGGTAGGAAGCCTGCATGTTCACAAGTACCCAAGTTGGAAATAATGTGTATGTGGCTGGCACTTGACAACACTGACAACACTGACCCTAAAAAGAAAGCACTGAGCTTTGTTTTTCTGACCCTGGGTTTCTTCATTTCAGCAGGCACGGAAAGCTTCTGCTCTGCAGCATCAACCAGCTGACTAGACCAACCCAGCCCTAACATGTACCCCTTTTCTCTTTTTTGAGATCAGAAAGAATCAAAAGGACAGCAGCATGTAAGAGAAATGATTTAACTTTATAAAAATGTGGCAGTACAGCAAGATTTCGTTGTGTTCTTTTTTTTCTTTCCCTTTTTTCTGGCAAGTAAAATTTATAAAAAAAATACCTGGCATAAAAACTAGAAACATAAACTTTGAAGCAAATGAATCACTTATACAATAAAAAGAAAACAATAAGCAGCAAAAAGCAGCAGCAGAAAAATTGGTTTGTTCTGAGGACAAAACCACCAAAGAGTACGGTAAAGTGGCAGTAACCATCAGAGAGGCATGAAGGCTTCCTGAATGGGACCAGACCAAATGGCAGCTGGCTCAGTGGACAGAGGGGGAATCACCAGCCTCCTGCAAACAGGCTTGCAGCCAACCCCCTCTTACAGGGCCACCAGCCACATGGCAGTGATTCATAGGCAAATCCTGAAGAACTGGCACTGAAAGGTTGGCTTCTTCCTTTGTCTACTTGTTCCTAAATTGTAATTCTGTAGGTCACTATCTCACTATCATCAAATGTCAACCTAAGCTTGGGTGACAAGCTTGCTAGGGAAATCCAAGAAATCTAGATGTACAGGGCTTCATACAAAACGCTTTTTTGGGAAAGTATGCACCATAGCCAAGGCAGAGTTAAGACCACCTTGGAGAGGCAGACTAGAAATGCCCCCAGCTACTCTCTCCTAGAGGGAAAGGCCTTCCAAAGGATGCTAGGTGAATTCTGAGTTACATTCTGAGGTAGTCTAACCTGACTTGCACAGGTAGCTGAGAATGGTAACAAACCATGGAGAGCGGGAGGGCAAAGAGAAAGTTGCCATAGAGAGAAAAGACTAACATATGTAACAGAAAGAACTATACTACACTATTGAGTAGGCTCAGAGATGCCCAGAATACACTCTGGACTTAGGGATGGCTGGTGGTAGGACCCTGGGAACACACAGCTTTTGTACTACTTGCTATTGCAGCAGTGTGGCAGAGATGTGGGAATCTATAAAGGAATTTCCTGGTCAGAGCACTGGCAACTCTGAGGTGAGGGGTGTCACCTTAATTGGCTTGTCCTCTGCTACCTACATGTTATGATGGCAATGAGTCAAAGAGCCTGGGGAACTTGGGGTGAGGAGTTCTAACATTCCCTTCAACTAAGATTCCTCTAACCTGAACATATTTGGGGGGGTTACTACTGCAAGATTTTACTGAGAAAACACTTAGGAGGTCCCTCAGGTGAAGGAGCAATCAGAGCCTAAGGGATCATTGAAAGAAAGAACAAAAAGCTAAGGTGATATTGGACTCCCCCTAGTCTTTCTATTAAACACTAATTTACATCCTTTTCTTCTTCTGCCCCAGCACTCAGAATCCTAAGACTAGATGGAATGTTCTGAAGGTTTGGGAGGCAGCAGCTGTGCAGACATTAGTATTTTCTCTGCTTTCCACATTTCCGTGAACGCCTTCTTGGACGGAGCTCCCCAAAGTCTTCAACTTCATTTTCATAATCATCATCCTGAACAATACCTATTTATGAAGTAAAAAACAAAAAGTGAAAATCGTAACCCCAGCCCACTATCCCACTCTACATACCACATCCTAGTGAAAGCTAATGTCTCTGTAATTGTTTAAATTAAAGAACGGAGGGGAATAGGAAGGATGAAAACAAAGTGCCATACGTATATGTATGTATGAAAATGTCACAATGCAACCCAATATTCAGTGTAATTAGTATTAGTTTAAAAAAGAAATGAAGATTTCCACTAGGATGCCAAAGAAAGAACACTGCCTCTTAAGAAAAGCCAAAATAAACATCCATCTCCAGAATCAAATTCTTTATAGGTTGATTCCCCTTGTCTTATGATAGAGGTCCTTTAATAAATAGCCAATCAAGGAAAACCTAAGTTCAACTATACTTTTGAGTTGCTATAACTATTACTTTCCTTTTGAAATGATTATAAAAATCTCAGTGTCCAGAAGGGCCTATACACTAAAGGCTTTGTAATAGTAGACATCTGTACAAAGTTCCTTCAACTTTTCTCCAGCTCCAAGGCCTGGATATTTAGTAGCAACTGTATTAAGACTCTGAAGAGTATCAGAGGCTGGTGAAATCCCAGAGCAAGAAGAACCATGATCTGGTTAGCCAGGGGCAGCAGGTAGAAAGGGTAAGAGAGAAGACATTCTGGATCACACAGAATTTAGTAAGAAAATTCTGTCAGCAAAGAAACGTAACTCACTTTACAGAAACCTTTGACCCTCTATAGCAAGATGCCTGCAGACTTATGCAAAGATGTTGCATTTTGTTCACAAGGTATTCCCAGGCCCAGAAGAATGCTGATAGATACTAGATACTCAGTAAATATCCAACAGTTTTAAAAAAATAGCTGACAATAGAAAACATCTTTATCAAGGGGTAGCTCTATGATATTTATCCTTGGGAGCCTTTCTATTGAGTATGTGCTCATGAGTAGCAAAAGAGGTTCTTAGCAACTAACAGGAGGATAGAGGAGTTACCCTCCCAATCAAATGAGGAAATTTAGATACTATGTGGCTAACTCATTACAAATTGTGCTCCTAGACAATGAAAGGCTATCAGGCCGGGTGGCTGCCTCACTTCAGATTCACCTGGGAGCTCATAGTATGAAGAGCCACAAGACCCAACATATTGCCCACTCCTGAAGTAAAGGACTCCTTACCTTCCTCTTTTAAGTGGAGTTCTGTTTTCATCAACCACTCCTGTGCATCCTTGACGGACACAACCAGAATCATGACCAGCCGAGTCATCGCCTCCTCCGCTACAGAAACCAAAGGACAGGGGCTCTGAGTGAAGAGGCTGCTACATGCACTAGAACATCAAACACTAGGGACAAAGTCCCATGTCCTAAGAGCTAGTCTGTGTGTACATTCCCTCACGACAGCCCTCCTTATAGAGGGGCCTTCTGTCACCTCAAGCATAAGCTGCCCTTAAATGTCAGCTCATCACTAGCATTACTGTATGTCTGTAGAGACTACAAATAGCAAACCTTTGTATTGACAGCCTGTATTCAAAATGTCATTAAACTCCTAGCCGGCTATAGTATCTGAATTATAGAATGTTTCAATGCCATATATATATATATTTCATTCAGTGTTGCTAAGGAGTAGCTAATAAGAAAACTAACAAGGAAACCTGAGTCTAAGTCTGCTCAAAAATTCTTATCTTTAAAGGCTCAAATTTGGTATGAGTTAAAAGGATCTTTAAAAGAAAAGACTAGCTAAATTTTCCAATTCATACTCTAGGGTTCAACACAAAGTAGATGCTCAATAAATGTTACTGAATTAATAAATCAAGAGAACCTTAAAGTGTTTTCTCAAGCCTTTCAATATTCTCCCTAAATCTTCTCCATAGAATCAGTGATCAAATTATTTTCCCACCTGTAGTATCTGGGGAAATCATCCAGGCCAAAGATAATCATAAATTTTTAATTGAAGGGAGTAATCTGAACAATGAGATTTTGCTGTAGTTTGAGAACAAATATTCTTTACTGTGTCTTTGCAAATACCAAGCTTCCCATCATCCCCAAATTAGATGCCACTACAAAGAACATAACTGCCATCACTTAGCATGCTTGTCCAACCCCATCTAGGCCCCTATCTCTGTGTCCCTTACCATCAGCCCAGGCCTTTCTCCTGTAGAGGTCTTCCACCAAATCTGAAACCCTCTTGATGTGCTCCTGGACCTTCCTCTGCAGCATGTGGCTGTGCTCTTTAGACCCCAAGTGACTACGGATCCATCTGCTCTGCTCAATGTCCTGCACCACTAATTTACCTTCATAAATGGCTGGGTCAACCTTCTCATGGAAAAATTCTGAGTATTTCTGGTAAGCTATTTGTTGCCTCTGATGGCTTTCTAGGTGGATGTGCTGCTCATAGGACTCACTACTCCTCTCCCAACGCTCCTTCCCTTCCAGCTCAGCCTTAGAAAGAATCACACCCTCTGAAGCTACTCCCTCAAACACTTTGCTGGAGCTGAAGTAGTTCTCAGGGCTGCGGGTGAATTTCACTCCACACAGATCACACTGGGTCCTGTCCACATCAGCCTTTTTAAAGTTCCCAGCTGTGGGCTCTCTTGGCTCTTCTCTGTCATGCTCTGTCTGGACCCATCTCCTCCAGCTGATACAAAGAGACACCACCAGGAACATTCTTCTCAACTTGCGTTGGATGGAGGCCTTTCGCTGCTTCTGGGAAAGGATGGTGGCCAGGAGATAGTCTCGGTCCTCCAATACCAGCTCATCTGTCTCATCCTCATCAATCTCATACTCAGGTTCAGCAAAATAGTCTTCAGGACCAACACAGAGCAAGCGGCTTAGTCTGACCTCCTCATGACAGAGGCCATGGACCACAGACCCTTTGGTGTGCACACTGTCCCAGCGCCAGTGGCAGTCCATCAGGTATTCTTCATCTCTCTCAAAGAGCAGCTCTTGCAGGGCTTCAGCCACAAACTTCACATTGACCGCCATCACCACCCGCCTCACAGCCTTCTGAAGCCTCTCTGGAACCTGGTCAGGGCAGTCCATGCTCATCAATTCCAGTCTTGTCTCGATCTCCTGAAAATGGCGGTACAAAAGAGACTTGCAGAATGGCTGCAAGAACTCCTCAGCATTTACCAGCATTACCAAGCACAGCACCAGTGTCCGCTCCGCCTCCCCTGAGACCACATAGTCTATTTCACTGAAGGCATCAAGCAGAACATTGAAGTTGATATTCTCATAACCACATAGCACCTTGACAAGGTAAGAGAGGTGGAATCGGAAGTCCTGAATGGCTCTTGTCACATCCTTCGGTTTATATTCCTGGATAATGGAGAACATATCCCCAAGTTCCTTGTCTTTTTTGCTGAACAGGAACCCCCAATAGTGCAGGAGTGCAATGTAGCTCTTGGGGAGGCACAGGATAGCATTCTTCCAGAGGCGGGCCAGTACCACACTGCAGTGAATAAACTGGAACTCCAACAGGGCAACTGTGTTTCCAATGCTGGGGATAAGTGGCTCTTTGCACCTCTGGATGAGGACATTCATGAAACGGAAAAAGAGCTTCTTGTAGTCTTCTGGATTCCTATACACATAGAACTGGTCAATAGAATTCTCTAGCAGCCGAATGAAGCACAGGTGGGTCTTCTCTGCACTTTCATCATCCCTGTTGGGCACTAGCATGCCAAATTTCCCTTCTATTCCTTTCATCTTGCTACTTTTTCCTCTGCCCCTTTCCTCTTTTTCAGACTCTAGAGCTTTCAGTTCTCTGTTGTAGTTGTCTTCTTCCTGGTGGAGCAGCTTTTCAAATTCCTCTGGATAGCTGGATGAGAGAAGGAAAGCCTGCATGGCACTAAGCCACAAATCTGTGGACTCCCGGCGGCTGCATGCTGTTTCATTTTGAAACAGATCATGGATGTATTTTTTCAAGGCAAACCTGTAGGACCGGAAGGATTTGCAATGTGGTTTGAGGATTTCTTTGCATGCCATGGGGTTTTCTGACAGTACTCTCTGATGGAAATGCCTAGGGAAAAGGACATTTAGGAAAGATTTGCAAAAGCCATATATATCTGTAGACAAAATATAATCTATTTCTTCCAATTCTTCAGCTAGGATTTTTGGGAATACATTTTTGGCTTCCAAAAGCAATCCACTGATGGCCACCAGATGCATTTTGGACTGAACCATACACTTGGCCTCACAACGCCGCAGAGGCCTATGAAAGTCTTCACAGTTTTTATCTTCACATTTTAAGCCTACAATAAACTTCAAGCATATGCCGGGGTATGTCTTCCCAAGCAGACTTTGTGTGATCTGACACAGCCTGCTCAGAAGGTGTTTGTTTAAGGCTAATTTCACTTGATCAATCATTACCACGAAATGGTCTTTTGTTGTCTTCTCTTTCAAATTCAAGTCCAGGTCAAAAATTATTCTTAAGATGGGCCCAGGGTCATTCTGAGCTATCTGGCAATATTTTCCATCCACCTGGGAAATCCCAAAAAATTCAAAGCAAGATTTGACCATTTCCTTCTCTGCATTGTTAGTCACTCGCTTGAGGGCCTTGACCAGATTGAGAAGAATTTCTAAGCCCCATGGAGCCAGAGCAAGAACTTTCTCAGGGTCAGCTTCACACTGTCTGGCTGCTTCGTAAAGAGCTTCCACAACTCCAGCTGAGTGGTTGAGAGTTTCAAACCTGAGGAAGGCATCTTTGAGTTTCTGAAAGTCTTTCAGGATTACTCCCTGTAGGAATTTGGCCTCTGCAATGCCAGAAAACTGGCTGGTTTCATAACAGAGATCAAGCGCTTCTTGTAGAATGGCCTTAGTCTGTTCTATGTCAGAATCTCTGGCCACATTGAGGCGGGCAACCCCCAGCAGACATGAGGCCTGGAAGTCCTTGTCAGTAGTGAGCCTGGCAGCCTCCAGGAGGCAACCATGCTGCTTCATCAACGAGGCAGCCTCCTCTCTCCGACCTTCCTTGTTCAGCAGGTCTGCAGCTTCTGCTAGGCATTTCTGAGACTTTAGGAACACTAGCTGATCTTCAATATCTAGCTTTGAGAGGACAGCCATCATTTCTTTGATCTTATTTGAACTCAAGTACTTAGCTGCAGCTTCCACATAGAACTGACTGGCAGAATAGGAGAGCTTAGAAATAGGAAGAGTCTTGGTCTTCAGCATTTCCTCATATCTGTGAAGACAGAGTATGCAAATGTCAATTTATTTTCAACCAGCCAACAGGAAATTCTTTGCAAAATATAACACAGAGGTACTAAAGACTCCCACAATACATAGGTATTACAAAATGAGACCTAAATTTGTCAAGCATTCAAGCACTTTCATAAATGCTTCATTAGATAATAATCATAATAATCTCCTTGTTCTTCAATGGAATCAAGCATTAGGGTGCTTACTTAATGAAAAAGGCTGTAATTGCAACTCAAGTAAATGGGAGACTCAAGTTTGAAAGGTAATCTATAGAGCAAAATATACACATAACCAAAAATTATCCTTGAACAACATGTCTTCAAATCTCATAAAAGCATGATAATCATTTCGTTATACAACTCTAATAAATTTGAATGTGATTAATGAGAAGGGACGGAATGGGTGCTGTATACACATAAGCAATTTTATCAGTCTTCCCTTTATTATCTAACCTGTGATTCTTCTCTTTTGCCAGGCATGCAGGTTGGATTCATGTGAGATTAATGACGCTCTCTAGGGTTCCTCTTTATTCTACCAATCAAAGTCAGTATATCCTGCCATAAACACACTTGTAACACACCCTTCATCATCTTTAGCTTTTCTTATCAAGACACTGTGTCAAAACTTATAAAGAGTGAAAAACTAAGCTGTGCTTTCAAGGAGCTGCTGACCTGACACCAAAGGCTACCACCCAAGTAGCAGGAGGTTGACATGGTCACACCATTTCAGACATAGCAGAATACCATACCCAGGGCTCGCTGCCCCATAGACAAGGAGGAGGAGGGGAGAGAAATGGGAAAGAATAAGAACCACCTACTTTTCCACTGCAATAGCAGCTTCCTCAAAAAGTTCCTCTTGACAATACATTTTGAGTGCTAGATCAAATTCCTGAATCTGCTCAAAGCATCTGAAAGCATCTTTGTAGCACTGGCTTCGCTTATAGAAATAGGCCGCATCTCTTATCTAAAACAGAATAAAATTTTACTTTTATTTAGAATATTCATAACTTTTTATCTTAAAAAACCAATTCCATGAAAAATAAAAATGATAGTTATATATTTGCTGTTTTTTAGAACCTACTAAGGACACTAAAATATTAAGAAAACTAATTCTTAGGGCTGGGGAGATAGGTCAGTGGAATAAATGCTTGCCTGGCAAGTGCAAGGTCCTGAGTTGGATCCCTGGTACCACCAAAAAGAAATAAATAAAAAGAAAACTAATTATTTGTAAAATACAGAATAAAAAGTTAAATCCTAACTTTATATCATATATAAAGGTAAATTCTGGGGGATTAAAGATCTAAATATGGAAACTATTTGAGAGAAAATATATGTAGTGCTTCTGCAACCTGGAAGTAAATGAGCTATGCAGTACACAACCTTCAGGAGAAAAGCTGATAGATTTAATAATACCAAAACTATTTAAATACAGGGCATATGAAATTAAGTTAAGAGAAGACAGACTTTACATCTACATCATGGAATTATCCGTAAAGACAGAAATGTTCTGTGCTATCCAATCTGCTATGCACCAATCTGTGCTAATCTGCTATCCACTAATATATAGAAACTGATATTTTAATTTTATTTCATTTTAATTAATTTTAATTTAAACAGCATATGTGACTAGTGGCTACAAGCTTTGGGACGTCTGAAACACAAAAAGCATTCCTGCAATTACAGTTAAAGACTTATCTGGAAATCCAACAGAAAATTAAGCAAATGACATAAACCAGCAGTTTAGAGGAGGTAAATTTGAGTAACTAAAAAAGAAAAAATTAAAAAATAAAAAATAAATGAGGGGGCTGGCAAGATAGCTCAGCGGACTAAAGCTCCTGCTTAGGCAAGCTTAGGTAAGCACAGGGACTGCAGTTAGATCCCAGTACCACATGCTGCACCAGCCCCACCACCAGGGCAGGCTGTGGGACACACACACACACATACACACACAAAAGGATACCCACCCTTACTAACAGTCAGAAAAAAAGCAAATTAAAACCACAGTGAAATAAATCCACCAAGCTTACAAAAATAGAAAATCAGAATCTGCTGAACATAGTCAAGAAAATGGGGGAACACAGAACCCTCATGCAGAAAGTGATATGGCCATTCTTGAAAGCAGAGTAGTCAGATTATTAAAGTGAAGCTCAGTATATACATAGCCCAGAGCAGCAAACCATACCTAGTAATACATGCCGTAAACTCACACAGGGCTGTGAGGGTATGGTGCACACTGTAGTGCTGTGTGTGGCAGCCAGGGAGCCAGTAGCAACCTGGACTCATCTCCAGGGAGGTGGATAAGTAACATCACTGGAATACTGCTAGGGGTCAGAGACATGGCCAGAACTTAACACAATAGCAAGGGATATAAAAAGATAAAAAGCAAAATAGGATGTCATTGAGATAAGTTTAACATATATATAAATAGAGGGTTCCACTATTCATTTAATAATGTTGGCATTTGAGGACATACATTAAATGCAGTAGAATATTCGGCTACCAATGAAAAGTGAATGGGATGGAAACTGGCTGTGAAAATGAAGATAATGAACAACAAAAAAAAATACAGTGAGTGGGCCTCATGTCCACTAATGGTGGGTTTGCTATGAAGAGGTTATCACTCTGCTCGGCTTTCCCAGAATTTCCAAGATACAACCCTGTGCACCACTATCATGCAATTCAACTCGAAGCCTGCTGCTAGACTTTCCCAACTTTCTGCTCTTATTTCTCTACAACCAAATAATTAATCTTATGTCACCCCTCCACTTGAATTCTTCCTGGATCCCTATCCCACTTGAACAAAAAAATGGTCCTTATCATACACTACATCATCCTCCATCTTATCATCTGTTCCTCCCGCCCTTCTCTCTCTTGGTACCATTTCTATCCTTTGTTCCATGTTCTGCCAAACTAGCTTCCTTCCAGTCCTTCAAACTTATAAAAATGTTCCTTCCTTGGGAATGTTAGCCCATGAACCTTCCAGTAACTGTTCTGGGAATTTCCACTCAAAAGTCAGCTCAGATTCCCTGCCTAAAACAGCAGCCACTGACTCCCTTCTCCTTTTATTGTCCTTTCTTCTCAGTCCTCATCACTACTGACATCTCATATACTGTTTATCTATTTGTCTTTCTCCTACACTAGAAAGGGAAGCTCTGAAGAGACAGAAGCCTTTGCTTAGTTACCTGCCTGTCACTCAGCACCTAGAGTAGGGTAGAGGGTCTGCCTGTTTGATGAATATTTAACTCTCGAACTCTACTGTTGCACATGGGCCCCAAGAGTAAACAAAATAAAAATGAAACAAAACAAAATACATATTCCTAGCTCCCTAAAAAAATCTAATCTTTAATGAGAAAAGATAGCTGAGGTGCTAAAAGAAAAGATTCAGATGTAAGTTTCTTCTATATTCAGAGACCTCATAGATCAGGGAATCCTTGACCAATCACAGTCAAATCAACAAAATTCTACATCTTATTACTCCACTCCTCTCTATGATAATTCTCATTATTAAATCCATGTGTGTACATAAAGATCTATTAGGTGCTAAATATGTGTACAACTGAAGAAAGAGAGGAACAACTGTCAGCTCTCTGCTCTGGCCTATCCTGCTTCATAAGGAGGCCCCACCTGCCATCCATGGAAAGGGCTTGGAAAGGTTTCTATGGAAACCAAATCTGCTCTCTGAGGAGAACAAAAAACCAGGCAAGGCATAGTACTGAAAGTCTTGTACTCCCAAGGCATTCTCACAAACATTTCTTCCCAGGGGTAGGTAGCGTGCACCTGGGGATTGGAAACAGGGAGGTAATTTGGCCTGAGAATTTAGGCAACAGCAGGTGCAAAGCTGGTCAATTCAAAACTTCTAGTCAATCTGGGTAGACAATCACAAGTAGTATGACACTGCCTGAGAGTTGAACACCTTTCCCTGGAGGGACTCAAACAAGGGGAGAGCTCTGATTCTTCCCAGAGTGAGTTGTGTTGTTCGGTGTGTACAGTACTGGGAATCAAACCCAGTTGTGCTGTTTGGTGTGAGCTATATCCAAGCCCCCTCTATTTTTTTAGTTTTTCATTTTGAGACATGGCCTTAAGTTGGGCTTACACTTACCATCCTCCATCTCAGCCTCTTGTAGCTGGGATGACAAAATAAATCACTGTCTGCTCCAGGAGACATTTGGAGCTACTAGGATGAATTTAAGAGAGAAGAAGCAGCACCTAGGAGCAGAGCCTGTGCAAGCAGGAGGAGAAAGGCTAAGTATGCTCTATGAGCAGGATGGTCTCCACAGATCAAAGGTGCTCTAGTAGGAGAGTAGGGCATGGGCTGCAGTTATGGGCTCCTGCTCTCCCCAACCGCACATCAGAGGCAGAACTTGGTAGGCTTAGGTGCAGGGTGGGGAAGCAGACAAGAAAAGTATCTCTGGTTCAGTCATGCCAGACACTGGTACTCAAAAAGTGGAAAATGATAGGCTTAGACCTGTTCCCTGTAGTCACACTTCATGTGCAAGGTGATAGCCCTGAAATCTGAAAGGCAGAGGCTAAAGAAGTTAAAAAAGTTGGAAAACTATTCTATTGCTTTGAATACAGAAATGACATTTCCATTTACACTGGAATATTATCTCTAATCTCCCTATTCCATCTCTACCTTCCATATTCTGACAAATCACATCTAATAATAAACATGGAGAAAAGCAAATAGCACTGAGGGCCTGCTCTTATTGGACATGACTTGGACCACACTTCAATCTCCCAGTAGGACCCACTCCCAGCCCTGCCATGAGCAGGGTGCTCTGGGAATGCCAGGAATTACCATATTGGACATTCAGACATGAAAATTCCAGCAAAAGAAGAAATGCAGCTGCTCACAGTCAGACAGTCTTAAGCACAGCTTCTCCAAATACTTGTGGTGAAGGCCAGATTGTTTTACATTTCTAATTCATCACAACTGACACATTAAAATTTAATCACTAAGAAAAGTCACCACTTCGATGTCACATGGCCATAAAAAATTTCTTATAGCTTACTTCTCTCTTCTGTATTAATCTTCCTGTAAACAAATAACAGTTTGTGGTCCCCTGCCAGTCTGTTGATCTCTGTGAGCAGCTCAGTTCCAGACTAGCATAGAAGCTTTGTCAGACAAAGCTTCTTGCAGTGATGGAAATGTTCTGTAACAGTGAGCAGTCCCAATGTGGCTAATGAGGCTACAGAGGTGAATTTTAAAATTTCATTATATTTTAATTAATTTAAACTTAATAGGAACATGTAGTTGTGGGATTGGATAGGACAGATCTAGAGTAACTACTGGGAACATAGCAAAATTCCATGTAAACAGCAGACCATGGACCCAAGCCAATTCTGGACTGTGAACACAGGGAATGAAAAGGCAGAAATATTCTAATACCTATCTACTCCTTGGTTTGAACATTTAGTCTCCCTGTGGTTAACAGCAGGCCTTCTATACTAACATAAAGATGGCTGACATAATGATTAATACTGACTGTAAGTCAGATTGTATTTAAAAGCACCTAGGAAATCAGCAAAGCACACTTTTACATGGGTCTTTGAGAGTGTTTCCAGAGACAATTGACAGATGGGAAGAGATGTGACCTGAATGGGGGTGTTCCCATCCAGTGGGGTGAGGAGCCAGATGGAACAGCAGCAGAAGGGAGAATGCCACTAACACTAGTTGTTGGCCTCTTTCGCTGGGTCTGTCTGTCTCTCTCTTTTCCTCTTCTCCCTTCCTTTTCTGTCTGTCTGTCTATCTGTCTCTCTCTGTCTGTTTGTCTCAGTCTCCCTATCTGTCTCTCTATATGTTTCTGTCTCTCTGTCTCCCCACACCCTGATCTGAGCAGCTTTCCTCTGCCAATGCCTTCCCACCATGATGTTTCTGTCTTACCACAAGCAACTAAGCCAAGTGACCATGCAATGAAACATTTGAAACCCTGTGATAAAATAAATCTCTCCTCCTTTCAGTTTATCAGATATATTGTCACAATAGCAGAAACAGAATGTCAACATAGATATGCACACATATACACACGTGTGCGAACATATATACAAAACTCTCACGCAATGAGATAAAATCAAATCAAGATGGATCAAATAATTAGATAATAAAACTGAAACACTGAATCTGCTGAAAGATAAACTAGGTAAGAGGGGCTGGGGAGATGGCTCAGTAGAATAAGTGCTTCCCTGGCAAGCATAAGAGTCTGAGTTCAATTCCCAGTTCCAAAAAAAAAAAAAAAAAAAAAGTTTTTTTAAAAATAGGTAAAATTCTTGAAGACATAAGCATAGGTGAGGAATCAAGAATCAACAAATGGGATTATATCAAATTGGAAATTAGAAAGCTTCTCAACAACAAAAGAAACAACCAACAGAGTGAAGAGACAACCTACATAATGGAAAAACATCTTTACCTGCTACTCAGACAGAAGAATAATACCTAGAATATATAAAAAATTAGAACTCCCTCTAAACAAAAAAGCCAATCAAAAATGGGCAATTAAAATGAATAGACATGTTTCAAAATATAGAAGTACAAATGACCAAGTACATGAAAAAAATGTGCAGAATCCTTGGTCATTAAGGATATACAAGCTAAAATTCAGGGAAGCAATACTCAAACTATGAATCTATCTTATTCCAGAAAGAATTGCTATCATCAAAAACAATAACAACAAAGATAAATGCTGGTGAGGTTGTGAAGAAAAAAACGAACATTTCTTATAAATTAGTATAATCACTATGTAAATCAGTATAGAGATTTTTTAAAAAGTAAAAATAGAAATTCCATGTGATTCAGTTATACCTCTCCTGGATACTTTCTCAAAAATATTAAAGACATCACATTACAATGATGCATGTATTTACAGCAGCACAACTCACAACAGCTAAATTTTTCAAGTGCTCTATGTATCTAACAACAGATGAGTGGATAAACACACACACACATACACACACACACACACACACACGAGCACTACTCAGCATAAAGATAAATTTGTAAATAATGGGAACAACTTGAGCTCATAATGCTAAGTGAAATAAGACACAGAATAGTAATATTATTGATTTCTCATATAAGTCCAAAATATAAATAATTTAAAGACCAAAATAAAAAGAGAAACTACAGGAAACAAAGAGGTAAATTTTATAGAGATGGAAGGCTACTTGGAATGGAGGAAGAAGAAAAGATAGGGATGGGAAAGGGAAGTAAAAAAGATTAAGTTGTGATATATATATTGTCATAGTTTGGGGGTTTACAAGGGGAACAATAAATACTGAATCACCCAAAAAATCATATACAAAGAGTGTGGGAAATCTGTCCACATAACGAAGACTCCAGGTTGAGGACCTGGATCCCATGGTAATATGTTCTGCATGAGTCTAACTGAAGATCTAGAACCCACAATAATGTATCATGCAAGCCTGTTTCACAGATCTGCACTGGAAGGGCTCAAAAGTCAGTGATGAAGGCTAGAAAGTTACCTGTGCTAGCAGGCTGAGGGATCTGAACTGGAGCCAGGAAGCAATACTCAAATTATGAATCAGAGCTCCCCCAAAAGTACCACAGCCATCCTCAGCAACAGTGAGGTCCTGAGCCCCTCCAATGATAAGGAAAGCTGGATTCCTATCACGAAAACCAACATGACAAGTTTCTCCATGAGTCTCAGCACTGCACCATCTTTCCCTCCAGAGCCAGGAAGCAACGCTCAAGATGAGGACCAGAGCTCCACCAAAATGAGCCATAGCCATTCTCAAAGACAATGAAATCCTCAGCTCCTCCTCCAAGAACAGTCAAGTTCATCAGGAAGCCCAGCATGACAAGGTCCCCCAGCAGAATAACCAAAGAGAACCAGCATATTCCAACAGCTTCTCCAAACACCATCCTTAACAGTGTTCTAACAGCTTCTCCAAACAGCTCCCCTAACAGCCCCTCAACAGCTTCTCCAGTTTGCTTCTTCTGCTGCTGGCAACAATCCTCAGCTGGACCTCCCACACTTAGCACCACATTAGTTCCATTCAATTGGGTGTTAGAAGTTAACTACCAGTTGTTAATCCACCACATTTATGTACCAATTCTCCAAGGTAACTATAATTATTATGTATGATAAATATATGTTTATAGCAGCACAGTCAACTGATGAATAGATAAAAAGATGTGCCTTTTATACAATGGAGTATTATTCAGCCATAAAGAAGGATAAACTTCAGACATTTATAGGGAAATGGATGCACCTTGAGACCATATTTCTAAAGGAAATAAATTGAACACACATGCATAAATATCACATTGACAAAGACAAAGAAAAAATTAAGATCTTAAATACTGCATTTTTCTCTAGTGCGAGAAACCAGAAGTGTAAATATAGATCAGAATGTATACTAGATCTTATGAAATAGGAAGAAAATATTCAATTAGAAAGGGGAATTAGGAAGGCAGGATGGGAAAAGGAAGAAGGAAAAGAAAAGAAAGGAAAAAAAGAAAAGAAAAGAAAGACAAATGGAAACAAAGCTTTTGTAAATGAGGAAGGGAAGAAGGATTGAAGGGAGGATAAAGAAATGAGGAAAAAAGAATTGAGATAAGTCATGTACAGGTACAAAGTCTCTATGATGAAAATGATCATCATATATACTTAAAATGTACCAATAAACTTAATTAATAAAAATTAATTAAGGGTAAGCAATGAATAAGTGAATGCTTGAGCAAGTACAGAAAGAAGGATCCTACTGAGTCAACAGGACCAGTGTCCCCTTCCTAGGAGGCCTGGAGTGAGCCTGTTCTTGCCACAAGCAGATGTTGAGAGGCCCACCTCTCGATCTGTTCAGATGAAGCCCAGGCCTCGTAAGTAGCTGTGGGATGTGGCCATACCTTTCCCAGCCTCTCACACAGCTGAGCAGAGAGCTGAAACTCCTTGGCGTAGCTCAGACACTTGAGGGACAGCATTGGCTCACTGCATTCCAAATAGGTCTTAGCCAGTCCCAAATATTCCAACTGTTTTTGCCTAGGAGAAGGGAAATACAACAATATTTCTATGAAATATTAACCTAACACCAACATGCTTAGCATGCTGCTCTCATCAAAACAAATCTGAAATGATGCCAAGACACTTACTTGGGGCTGACCTTCTTGGACTTCATGTTCAGGGCAGCATTATGGGCCAAGGCTAACTTTTCCTTCTCAAATGCACCTCCTTTTTGGTAACACTTGGCTGCAACCTGAATAGGGAGAAGATTTTGATTCCTAACAAGGTAACAGAGGTGACTATAGAACAAGAGTTAGAACATGCATTGAGTGACTGTACTGACAAAGCACTGTCTTACCCAGACCAATCTGAAAGGGAGGAATGGGAAGGTACATGTATGCTAACCACAGAAGCCTGAGAGGACAAAGCCCAACACTGTTACCAGCCAACACACTCAAAAATTTCTTCAGGAAGTATCCAGAAGCTATGGAAAAAGTACATAATACCTATTTTACTGGTCAGCATAACAGCACTCTTCTTTAATCTTCCAACAGCCATGTGTAAGAGATATCATCCTTCTCATTGTACACAGAGCAACCTCAGGTCAGAGCCATGAAGCAACTAGCCCAAGGGCATCTTGTGGTCTTTCTGGGCCTTTTGACACAGTTGCTAATTACCATGGCTACCATGTGGTGCTGCAGAAACAGCTATAGTACACAGACTGGGAACAGAAATGAGGTAAGATAGTCTCACAACACATTCAGATCATCAGAGCATGCAGATCTAAGTGACTAAACCTGCTAAGTAGGAGGTATGCAGACAAGTAGCACAGCAAAGTCAGCCTGCATCCTTGCCATCAGAAAGCTGCTTTTCTAAGACAGGAATGCTTACACCATGTCTCAAGGCAAAAAGTTCCCATTATGCTTAGCACTGAGTCTCAGTGTGGATGTGGGAGAGACTAAGTGACATTTGCTGAAAAATGGACAGGACAGCCTTTCTCTCCCTCCTGCTCTTTGCTCCAGCCTTCCTACCCTCATGCACCTTGCATTCCTGGGACCTATGCCATACTTCTTCCCACCACAGGGCCTTTGCATAGGCTACTGCCTCTAACAGAAATGCTCTTTGCCTAGTTAGCTTCATTCACTCTTCAGGTCTCAGTTCAAGGCTTCACTTCTCAAAGAAGGCTGTCTTGGCCTTCCTGTCTAGGACAGGCAGCTCTGAATGCAGCTGACCCTGCATCTGTGACACCTGCCACAGCTGAAACTGCACATTCATCTATGTGCCCGTTTTGCTCACTATCACATTCCTGGAATCTAAACGTAATTTTGTGGGGGTTTTAATGCATCTTAATGAGGAAAAAAAGGTAAAATAGCAATGAAACAGCTTTAAATCAGATTAGTAGGATGGTTACAATAATTAATACGTTGCATATTGGTGTCTTCATAGTGGCTATTCAGAGGACAAGATGCAGACACAGTATCTTGTCTAAAGAACATTAGTACAAATTTCTATTCTCAATGAACTAAGGAAAAGTAGATGTATATCTAACCTAACTCTCTTGTGCTTATGTATATACAAAAGGGTAAATAAAAGACTATTCTGTAGTTTTTTTCTTTTCATTTATAATTTTTCCAATTTTTTCAAGGGAAAAATAACCCACTGAGCAAGAAGAGTAGCTGGAGTGGGTTTAGCAATGGTTTGGGTAACTGAATAACTGATTTCTCTGGTATTATCAGCCTCATTTATACCAGTCTCATTTTGAAAATGAGACAGTTGATGCCCAGCAAGATTCGCACTGTGCCCTGAGGCATAGGTCCATAGACTCCAGTAGGAATAAGTCAGGGCCCCATTTTAGAAGTCAATAGGAATCTAGAGGACAAAATAAACATAATTTTGGCTCACAACGCAACAAGTATTTGTCAAATGAACAAATCTTGTATGGTAGTTCTGAAACATTCATTGACATGCAGCCAAAACCCAATAAACCACCTGAGTCCTGCAGTCCTTTAGCAGGATCAAAATAAAGTCAGATGAGGAGAAGGCTTTTTATAACTTTCCCATCTATGCCAGCTCCCCTAAAAAGATTTTTAGATTGAAACTTTCAAAAAGTATTTTTACAGAGATCAATAATTGGAAATCCATGGACAACACAGGTAGGTAACACCAGAAGTAGGGTTCTTCAGAACACCAAAGTGTTCTGAAAGAAATAAAGGGTAAGATTGCACAGAGATTTCCAATTCAATTCCCATACTGCTGCCGAGTTTATCTCCTCCTTCCCTACTTAACCCCACCAGCCACCCTGCCAAAAGACTGCTTTATAATGACAGCCAAATGTTCAGTATTTCTTTCCATTTTTTTTAACTGAAGTTCTCCTTTTATTCAGTTGTGAATAAAACAGTAGTCACTGTCACAGCTAATGTATAAATGGTATGAACTTCAAAAATGCTTTTCCTTTTTAAACAAACATTTACTTGAGAGACAGTATAGCAGTAGTTGATATGACATGACAAGCAGTACATATTTAGAAGGTCAGAATAACAGGAATTCCAAGCATGGACCTCGTATTACAGTTTTCTTCAGTACAGTTGTTTAGCTCACAGGTATCAGCATATATATTTACTCAGGGTGAGAATGCTACCAATTAACTGCTAGTTTCAAAAACCTGCTGAAGATTCTCAGGATCATTGCCTTAACCATCTTGTGCATATAAATATATGGTTTTGCCCCTGGCATGTTTCCTAGCTTTTCTCCTTGCCCTCTCTTTGTTATCTAATCCTCAAGTTCTCACTTTCCTTTTAATTGTGTTATGCCTTTCTATTTTTGTTTCTTCGTTTGAGTTCTCATACTAGTGAATCTATATGATATTTACACACGTGGGTCTGGTTTATTTCACTTATGAGTATGTCTTCAAGTGGCATCCACTTATATATAAAGGCTTCGAGTTTATCGTTCTTTATAGCTGAGTAATTCTCCATTGTATAAAAATACCACATCTAAATAAAAACAAGAGACAAGGAAAAAAATGTCACAGGACCGTCCCACTACCATGATGTATATGGTTAGAATTCTAAATTTCTGTGCAAAAATACATAATTGTTTATTCCTAATTTTTAAAAATATTTTTATTTTTCATTTATTTATTTTTCTTCACATTCTGTAGGGATTTATTTTTTTTCTTCTTTTTAATTTATGGAAGGGTCTACAGGGTGTTCAGTGTGTCACTACTAGATCAGGCTTGTTCTTTCCACTTTTAACAAGGACCATCAATGAACAAAGTTTTGGAGCTCAATCAACTTCTGCAGCTAAATATAACAAATTTAAAAACCTGCTTCTCTGAAATACCCAAACCTACAACAAAGCAAATAGTGTTTTCTCACTTTATATAATAGACTATAGTGTGGCCAGAGTACATTTTTCTCTGTCCCAACACACATCCCTTTACAGTGCAAATTTGCAGCATTCCCTATTACAAGTGCAGGATATTTTCCCTCCTTTCTCATGTGGACTGTGACTTGTTTGGCCAACAGAATTCAGCAGAAGCAATACTGGGTCAGTTTCTTGGACAGATCTTAAGGGGCTGTGTGTACTTCTGCCTATTTTGGGGGGGACGCTGGCATCATATGATCTCTGTCTCCTAAACCAAGAGCCAATCAGCTCCTAGAAGTAGACCTTCCAAGCTGATTAGAAGCTCAAGGCAGGGCCAGGGATATACCTCAGCAGCATAAGTGCCTACCTGGCATGTGTAAGCTCCTGAGTTCTATCCCTGGTACCAGAAAAGAGAGAGAGAGAGAGAGAGAGAGAGAGAGAGAGAGAGA